CTAAAATTCTTTACTAATTGATGGAGGTGTTTTATAGCTGGAGCAATGCATTGCTTAAGAATAAAACCATTATTCTTCTCTAAAATGAAGTCTGATCCATGACTTAGCATCTCATTTAAAAGAATATGTCCATGACAACTCTGAATTACAAGTTAGTTATTACCAGTCATTTGCCGTGCAGTCAGTGGTAATAATTGAGATCTTCAATGTCAGCTCATAAAATATAAGTTGTCACCTGGAAAGCTTTTTAGATATTACAGAAGTTTGACGTCTGTTGATTGTTTCAGCTTCATCCTGCCAGAACCATAATTGTTCCTCGGACAGCGAGGTTCTCTTTTGAACTAATGCATATATATATACACACATACACAGGTGTATATATGCATTACTACATATAAAAATTAAAAACTGGAGGGAGAAAGCTGAGCTATGTAGTGACTGATGGCAAGAGTGAGGAAACTGGGTATTCCAAGTTCAAGCCATTGCTGTAGTCTACACGGAATGCTACACAGCCTAGTGCAGGTCTTTTGACTTCTGCATCCATTTTCATGTCAACTTGGTAAAATATTAACACATAGAAGGAGAACTAGGATTAAACTGGCAATATTTGTACACGTCCTATGTGCATTTAGTCATAATTTATTGGTGTAACAAATACTTTTCAGGCTGCTTAGTCATGAATTTGGCTTCATTTAATGTCATCAGAAGGAGGAAATTGTGACAAAAGTACTTCTTTTAAGTTTCAGCCGAAGTATTTCTACCAGGAAGCACTCATAAAGGAGGCAGAGCATGAGAAATTAAATAGAATATAACAAGGTAGAATACTGTCTCAGATGTAAGCATGTATTAGCTTTTAAATTTAACTCGTTGTCCTGGGCATTTTGTAGCGAGAGAGGAGGAAGGATGTGTGTATACTTCCATTTGCTATGTATTAACCCTAGACTTTCTTCTGAGAACAAGATCTCTTTAAAGCACCAGGAGCCCTGGAAATCCAGGCAACCTGGTCTTCAGAAATCTCAGTGAGGCTCTACAGAAAACTGAGATTGTGAATTTCTCAATTCAGTGTCAATAATACAACGTGACTGATGCGAAGAGACAGTATTGCTTACAAACAGCTCGTTTTCTACCTTTACATTTGGACACCTCTCACTTCTTGGAGAACAGCCTGGTTTTAAAAATGGTGTTACTGTTAGCAACTTGAAACAAAGCAAATGAAAACCTTTGTTTGTCATCGTCCCCACCAACAGAGAGCTGATAACGATGCATATATGATACAGACCCAGTAGCGTTTCTTAATTAAAAGTCGGAGAACAAAAAGAAGAGACAGTTTTATCCAACAGATAAAATCTGTGATGGATGTTCTGGATTTGGTCCTAGTACTCTGGGGCCGTGAGGGGTTAAAAAGAAAAATCTTTTTCTCTTATGCTATGCTTTCTGCATGTTTGTATTACATTCTTTTCCAGGAAAGGCTATTTCTCTACTGTCTGTGTACAACGCTGTGGGCCCTGATCAGTTGGTCCTAGGAGAGCAGTCTAAAAAAACTCAACAGCCCAAGAAAAAACACCCCGTCTTCATGGGGCAGTGGAATGATTGAAGCTTGGCTGCTTTTGATTTGTTATTTAAATCCATGCACAAATAGCAGATGATGTGTCTTATTTCAAAGGAAAGATTGTGTCTCTATGAAGCATAGGTTTTGAACATAAACAGGACATTCTGTTGACATCCTGGGATTCTAGCATGCGTTACAAGTGGTCCTGAATTACTGCAGAGCATCGTCTTCCACTTCCGTAAACATCATTCATCATACTTGAAGTCACTTTACAAAACTGTCTTGTTAATTAGGCCACTAAGGCAAAACAGCTCTAATAATTTCCATTTCTCTTTCCATATGCTACCTTTTAAGTAGGAAAACATGAGGCCATGTAAAATATGTTGGAAGTGATTATATGTGAAATGAACAGCAGAAGGACAAGGAAACAAACTGAGAAAATGGAGGAAATACTTTGTCCATAGCAAACTATAATAATAGATGTTTAAAGAAAAGTATAGTGTTATTTTTACATATATAAGTAGTTAGTTTTTTTTAATGCATTGGTGGGCATTCGGTAGCAGTGCTGATGGCTAGTGTGACCAGTTTAATAGTACCAGTTCAGCGTATTACATGCGTGGCTGCTGTTAGTTGGACATACGACTGACAGAAAAGACTTCACCGCTGTATCCTAATTTCTTGTAATAATGGATGTTATTGTTCTGTTGCTTGAGTCTCTTAAACCAAAGAACTGGCGAGACAGCCCGGGGCTCAGCGGACTTTCTCAGACTGGCGTACAGCCGTACCCCAACTCTCGTCCCAGGCAACATCTTGCCAACCTCTGGTTACTTCGGATAGCAGCTCGCAGCCAAAGTATTGCCTCACTTCATATTGCCGTTCAAAATACGGTAGTAGTGGAGTTGTCAGGGCAGCTCAAGTTGATCATGTACCTGAAATGCTTTTAAATTCACTTCTATCCAAACCTTACTAGAGGACAGATTGACTCCGTGATAGGCTGTTGTGTCTCCTTTTAGGTAGTTGTATGTGTCCGGTTGTGCTCACAAAACACACTGTACTTTTTGAAATGTTATCTGTGCTTCAGCCTTCTGGGAATATTTATTGCTCCCTGGCTGTGGAGTTACAATTGTGTCTTTGTTTGCTCCGCATGGACTGAGCATTCCTTATGGAAGTAATCAGCAAGAACCATATTTCGATGTGATGACACGAAAGCATGTGCTTTTTTGGGTAGCTTTGTAGCGTTGTTAAAAATATCTGATACCTCTGAGCACGCAGGTGAGCCTGAGAAAGGACCTACCAAATGAAGTTTGCTTAAAATACACGCGTCTGCCGATTCATAGTTCTCATGTGTCGGGTGACAGTTCTGTATTTCTGTAACGTGCGGATATTTACGTACAAATAATTGTGTGTCTGTTTCTGGTAACGCGGATCTTGTAAGAACAGGCGAGAAGCGAGGTCGGTAGTAACGCTGCAGATAGAGCTACAGAATCGTGAAGGTTGGAGAAGACGTTTAAGGTCATCAGGTCCAACCATATTTTGGTTGTCTTATTTCTGTTCTGTTTTTCCTTTGTCTCCCGGCCCCGGGACCACGTCATGCTGCAGCGCGTCCAGCGTGCACCCGCGTCCGGGCGCAGGAGGCGAGCGGGACGCAGGTTTTGCTTCTGATCCCGCAGCCACCCACGGTCTCCAGTTGCGCTTGCAGCCCCGAGGCTTCCTCGCTTCATCCGTGCGTGGGACGGAAGGATGAGGCGTTAGCGCTTCGCCGCACGCTCAGGGTAATGCTCCACGCCTTTCGGGGCTCCGCGTGCTGATGAGGTTTAAATAGCTGTAGGAGAGCTGCTCAGGCTCTCCGCACGCGCCGGTGAAAAAGGTTCCTACAGCGTTGCGTGCAGGTGTCCAAATTCCTTATGGCTACGACGGTTCCTTCGTGCCTCGACGAACGTTCCTGTCCGTTAGCCGTGCTTATCGTTGGAGTCTGCCAATTCTTGGTTTGTCTAGACACCGCGTAGTTCTCGAGCAAAACATTTCTTGCCTATCGGAACACGAAGGTTCATGCCACCGTTTACATGAATTAGCTGGTCATTTGAGGATTTTAGGGGATGCGTTAGGAAAGGCTTTAAAAGCAACTTCTCAGATGTCTTTCATGTTGTTTACATAGTTAAACTTTTTTTCTTTTTTGACCTAGAAATTATAGTTAAATTCTCCCACAAGTTGGTGGCTGACAGAAATTTGCAATGTGTTCCTGGCTCTTCGCACAAAATGCAGCTCAAGGAAAAATAGCTATTTCATCTCTTGGAAGTTTCCCTAATTCAGAGGTCTGTGCGGTCTTGTCGTCTTGTTGGATTAAGCTTAAGCATTTAGTTTTGTGCACCAGTGAGGTAAACCTGTCTCTATGATGAAATATCCTTTTATTCTTACACGGTTTGTAGCATGTCTCAAAGTGAAACCAGAAACTTTCAGACCTATAACAGGGAACAGTTCTGAAATGTCACCAGGGAGCAAGCAAATTAATTTTATTCAACATTGTTAATACTTAATGTAATTTAGTTTTCCAAGATAAATCCCCAGGGTAAAAGAACAAGTTACGCACATGTTTAACTTCAGCTGTTAAGTTAATCATCGAAATTCACTGTTGCTTCCACTGCAGCGAAACATTAAGCAGTTGACTGGTCATTTTCCTGGTCACTAACCTCTCTGTCCTTGGAAAAAATAATGCAAATTTTCAAAAGATTAAAAAAAAAAAAAATCTGGCCATCACTTCTTTTGCCCTCTTTTCCGCTTTGTTATTCAGCAGTTTATGCATGGGACAAAAGGAGTCCTTTGCATTAGTCATTATTTCTACAAATTAATTACATTTGGGTTCAGTCATTTGTTTCTGGGCTTGTTTTTTATGAGCAAAAATAATAATGGAAATCCTTCAGAGGAGCAGAAATTAGACTTTTCTGAAGGAGATGTGGAAAAAGCTTGACTTGCTTCCTAGGGCTAATTTTGGTATCACTTGGTTTTGCTAGCTTAGGATAATCTGTGAGGTGTAAATGTGGAAAAACGTGAGCATCACCTGTGCCACCGTGGCTTACACACCACCCTCTATCGCTACAGCATTCCAGGAGCTGGCGTCTCTCCCTTCCTCACTTGCTTCTCCCTATAGTTTCATCTCGCACACCAGTGAATCACAGCTTGCTGCATGCAATTAAATGATCTTGATTATAACACAAATCAAATAATAAATGTCTGAACGTTTTCCCTTATTGAAAATTCATAGGAATAAATACCTAAAGTTCTCCTTCCTGTTCAGCTTTGCTCAGATTTTTGACACCTACTAGAGTTACATGTGGCCGAGTGCATCATCTCTTAAATCCCTGTTCTGATTTCCATCTGTGTGAAATGACTTAAGAACAGATGTCTTAATTGTTTTTTGCCAACAGCAATGAGAAGACTTGAGTAGAATATGACAATGGAGGCAAAATCCATAGTCGTGAGTGTGGAGGGGATGACATGCAACTCCTGTGTTCAAACCATTGAACAGCATGTCGGGAAGATGAATGGTATCCTTAACGTTAAAGTAAGTGACACTATTGCTATTTCTTACAAAGCTTTGCTCTTACGTGAGAAACCATGATAAAGTATGCATCAAGGGAGGAAGACGCGTGGAAAGAGTATATTCCGTACTTTCTGTATTTCATGGGAAGCTGATGTTAGAAGTGCCGTAGTGTATTTCTGGTAAAAGAGAAAAACAAGTGCTTACTTTACTGCAGTGGGAGCTATGTCATTACCTGTCACTCTTAAGTAATTTGCTGCTTAGTTAATTCAGTAATGAGGAAAAAAGTCAAAAAAATGCAAGAACGGGAAATTTTTTAATAAGGTACAGCAAAAACCCTAGAACTTACACTGGTAAAAAAAGCAAGCTGTCCTTGTCCCTTATACTGAATATATGTCAGTAATTGCTCACAATTTTCCAGGACTTTTCTTCTGAAACTGATGGTACACAGAGGTCACTTGCACAGGTTCAAAAGCATTTGTGGGCCTGAGATGTCCAGTTAATCACGTGGTAGTTGGCCCACCATGAAAAATAATGCTGTTTTGTTGTGGTTCATGAAATAAGACCAGCAGGTAATCCAGGGGACAAAGGAAAGTCTTGGTAGCTCTTTAAAGCATTAGAAGTTTCTTCTCCTTTGTACTGCCCATGAGAAAATGAGAGGAAGAGCAGCAGAACTATGGCCTTAAATTGTTGACAGAGCTACTTGGTTTGCCCTGAATCCAAACTTCCTTGATCTGCCTTGATTTTAACTTTTTTTTTTCTTAGAGGAGATAGCAATACTTTGTTAGTATTTTTTCTGTCATGGGCAAAATATTGGACTGTATAGTATTCCAGGATGAGCTGATTTTTCCTACACAGTACATCATTTTACAGTAGTTTTAATAATGAAAACAATGTAAAAGCTGGGAGATTCCTATTAGTTTTATGACCTAATTTGTCCTAGAAAGAACAGTCCCTACAGTAGCAGCAACAGCAAATTGCAAAGTTCAATTACTCAGTATCTGTAAGGTTCTGTAATCATGCTGTAACGTTCTGTAGTGGTGGATTTTACTGTAAAGAAGATGATATCTTCCTGATTTCACCAAAAGATAATTTTTATTTTAGTGGGTATGTCTTAGATGAACACTTTCCTTCCCAGAATAGGGTACGCTGCCTTAATTTGGCAGGCATGGGCTCCTTACCTCTAGCTGATTTTGAAGGGCTCATTGTGGTGCACCATTCTGTACAAAGGGAATTGATGCACTAGTTGGTACAGTTTCTTTTTGCCTGAAGTAGGAGTTCACGTATGCACGCTTAAATTTTGCTGAAAAAATATTTTTTTCAGCAGCAATATTTACAAGACACATAATTTTTCATCTTCCTTCAACTTTAATGGAGCCTTAACGTAATACGAGGCTATGCTCTGACACCAGAATCTGGGATCGCTGAACAGACCGTTTTAGAAATAGGGATACCGCTGTTAATATCTGCGACATGGTATGGTAAGATGAATCACTAGGTATCCATAAGCATGAAGTAAAATCAAGGATAAAAGCAGCCTGTAAAATAATATCCCCAAATAACTGACTTCAGAATTCTCCTTTTCTCCCTTATTCTTGCAAAACATTTAATCTTGTCAACCGTGCTTTTTTTTATTGTTTCAGCTAATTTCTGAGAATATACAGATGACTTGAGATAGGAGGAAGACAAATTCATGCTTTAACTTGACTGAAGACAATGTGCATCCCGTAGTGTCTTTTACATACGGAATGAAGCAGGTTTTTGTAAAGGACAGTATTAGGAGTGTTGTATTTAGGTTTTAAGGTAAATACCTCAAAACTGAATACTATTCCTAGAACTACTCTTCGTGAGAAAATTTATTACAAAAACTTAGTCTGAGTAGAATAGAACTATAAGAAACTTTTAAGAGGCCCTATTTAGCAATTATCCTCATTACAGCGTCAGAACTTCAGTTTAGCTAGATCATTTGGTTCAGAAAGGTCTCAGAATAGTAAGACAAGGTTTTGTTTAGTGATTATGGATTAGGTCAGCAAAGGAGGTGAATGTTAGATAGCTAATACAGACAAACAGAGCTGCATTTAGGTTATTTTGCCTCCAACTGCAATGAAACCAATAAACGTCCATGTTGCCAATTCTGCTAAGGCCATAATTGGGACAAAAATGAAGAAAGGCGGTTCTTAAAATTATTTAACTGGTCTAATTTAATCATGACTCTGGTCTTTAGGTTGTACCTTTGCCCAGAGGAAAGATAGAATTGAACGATAATGTGTTGGGCCTCTGGCAGGCATCGGCTTTCCCTTTTGGAAACAGCAATAATTGCGTTTGATATATCATCAGTTGGGAGCAAATTAAATTGAGGATATTTGTACCATCTGATGTGAAAGGTTAGTACTGAATCAGGACGTCTCTGGATCACCAAAATGTACAGAGAGAGGAAAAACAGCTTCTTTTAATGTTTGTCATCTGTCAAATTTCAAAACTGAATTTTGTTCTGTAAAGTCTGATGCACCTTATTGCTCACAGCCAGCTAACAGCCTGTGCCGAAGATGCCTAGAAATACTGGGCTCCTTTCACTGCTACTTAAATCTGTGGGTTTTTTCAAAGAGTGTTTTCTTCCATCCCTGTAGCCTAAGGGTAATTACAACTAACTGCAGAAATACACATGTGATTAGAATTTTTTCTCTGTGGGCTGTTTTGCTTTTGGGATTGAATTGGGTTAGTCATCGTAATTCAAGAGAGTTTGGCTGTGGAAGTTTCGTTAAATGCATTGATGCTGTCTGGGCGTCGTAAGTAAAAGTGGCCAGACTGACTTGTAAAGGATTCTGAAACCAGGCGGGGGGGGGGAATCCGTTCTTTCTAGTGGTGGTGTTGCACGGATGAGCAGAAGTTACTTTATGGTGGCTATTGGGATGGTTTTACTCTTCCAGGTGAGTAGCGATGGGTAAAATTATACTGGACAAGTATATATGCAAGTAAAAACTGTTTCTAGTCTCCTGCAGGGTGTTAGTTCTCATCTGTTAGTATTGCAGTTTGCTAAAGCGTTTTGGTTTTTTTCCCCTTGCAAGGTATCTCTAGAGGATAAGAATGCAGTCGTCATTTATGACTCAAAACTGCAGACTCCAGCAACACTGCAGGAAGCGATATATGACATGGGGTTTGATGCGACATTAGCTGATTCAAACCCACAACCTGTTTTACCTGACACTATTTTCCTTGCTATTCCTACTCAGTCAGCTCTAACGTCTAAACAGATCTGTAGTACGCTACTAAAGAACAAAGGTATCGTGGACGTTAAAATGTCCTCCGATCACAAAACCGCAGTGGTGACTTTCATTTCTTCCATTATAAATGGCAAGCAGATTATCCAAATGATCCCAGGAGTAAATTTAAATACCTCTGCACCAGAGGTAACGCCTGGAACTTGTGAAGATTCCAGCTGGTCTCAAGCAAGTAGCGTTGTGCTGCGCCTGAAAGTAGAGGGGATGACTTGTCATTCCTGCACCAGCACCATTGAGGGGAAGATTGGCAAACTGCAAGGAATTCAGCGGATTAAAGGTAAAACCTTGGTGTATTTTTATTGCCTGTTATAGAAATATCTAATACCAGATGTCTTTTTTCATATTGTAATTATTATTCATTTACGTTTTCTGTTCAATTGAAAATTAATATTGGCACATATTAATTTAGATACAATATGTGATTGTATCTAAAAGGTAAGACAAAATTACCTGTATAAATAGCTTTGGCATAAATGTATTGCCACAGACCCCTGATAAAAGGATAAATTTCATAATGCTATTTGTGAAAGTTCTGGGGAGAGAGCAAAAAATCGAGGAAAAGAGGAACTGAAAATTGTTGTGGTACTAGACAAAAAATGGTTGAAGAACTAAATTGTTTGATATTTACCAAACCAATTAAATCTCTTTTCTATTGCAGTTACATTTCTGAGCATTTAAAGCATTTTTTGAAGCTTTGACAAGATCTGTTGCTCTTAGGGCAACGTGCTTATTATGCTTAGGGCAGTAACCCACGCTTATTTTTATTGCTTAATTTTCAGTGTCCCTGGACAATCAGGAAGCTGTTGTTGTCTACCAGCCTCATCTAATTACAGCAGAAGAAATAAAACATCAGGTTGAAGCTGCGGGTTTCACAGCATCTTTCAAAAAGCAGCCTAGACCCCTCAAGCTCAGTGTCGTGGACCTGGAGAGGCTGAGGAATACTCAGACCAAAGGCTCCGAGACAGTCCGGAAAGAAAACTTGAATGCAAACGATACAAAGACAGTTGTCTTCAGAATTGATGGCATGCACTGCGGTTCATGTGTCCTCAATATTCAGAGTACCATATCAGCACTCCCATCAGTATCAAGTATAGTTGTTTCATTAGAGAAGAAATCTGCTATTATAAACTATAACCCAAACTTAATTAGCATGGATGTACTGAGAAAAGCCATAGAGGCAGTGTCTCCAGAGACATTTAAAGTCAGCCTTCCTGACGAATGTGAAAATGTAGCACTTTTCCCCACGCTGGCGTCTCCGCTGAAGTCTTTTCACCCAGCTCTGAAGGATGCTAGCCAGCCGCTTACTCAAGTTGTTGTGATAAATATCGAGGGAATGACTTGCAACTCTTGTGTGCAGTCCATTGAGGGAGTCGTATCCCAAAAGGCAGGTGTAAAATCCATTCATGTCTCTCTCGTAAATGGTAATGGGACTATCGAATACGACCCTCTGCAAACATGCCCAGAAGACTTGCGATCCTCAATAGAGGATATGGGATTTGATGCATCTTTTTCAGGTAATGACATATTAAACTTTTAAGTTTAAAAGGATTATGCAGTTCTGTTTAGGATTTGGTACCACCCAAGATGAAATTTAGCAGTTGATGTATGCTTCGCGCTTGACAAGAGAAGCTTTATATCTTCACTGTCCATGAGATAAGTATGTGTGCACTTCCTTTAATACATCAGATTAATTAAAAATTACTGAGATACCTGGAAGTATAAATATGTCAAATACTGATGTTCAACTAGTGCTCCAGTTTGCTACTGTATAATATTCATGGCATGAATATGGAATTGGAACTTTGCTAACTGCGAATATTACAGATTGCTGTGCTGGAGTTTCTTTAATAGCGAATTATCAAAGACTTGGCTCCTGTGGAGTAACTAATGAAGGGATGTTTAACCAGGCTCAGGTGTGACTGAGGAGTGACAAGAATCTGAAGAGTGTGGACATAACTGAGGAAGTTAAAACGATGCTGTTGTGAGATAACCCTGGTAGGCAGCTAAGCACCACCCAGCCACTCGCTCACTCCCCCACGGTGGGAGGGGGAAGAGAAGCGAAAACTTGTGGATTGAGATTAAGATAGTTTTATAGGTCAAGCAAAAGTTGTGTGTGCAAGAAGCAAGAAGCTTCTTCCCCAGCTTTATATGCAGAGCATGACATCATACAGTCTGGAATATCCATTGGGATCAGCTGTCCCGGCTGTGTCCCTTCCCAACTTCTTGTGCCCCCCCAGCCTCCTCACCGGAGGACTTAATGTAAGCAGTAACTCTGTGTAAGCACTGCTCAGCAGTAACTAAAACATCGGTGTGTTCCCAACACTGGCCACAGATCCAGAAGATAGCACCATATGAGCTGCTATGAAGAAAATTAACCCTGTCCCAGCCAAAACCAGTACAGATGCTTACTGTGGTGACTGGTATGCTAAAAGTAATTGCACAGTGGGAGCAGAAGGCTAGGTGATAGAATGCAGAAGACTTACGATGAGAATACGGGTGAACATGAATAGGAAGAGAGGCTTCCTGAGGGTACAGGGAAGCTCCATTTCTTGATTCAGTAAGATTAAATTTTGAGAAATACAGTACATGAGCTATTTCGTGGCAATAACTGAAGAAGTGGTCAGGTGCTGCCATTTAATTGCTTTCATACTGCTCCTGCAGAAACAGCATCTCCCGAATTGCTGTAAGCAGCAGTTGTCTAGTTTGAGAGCCCTTCTCTAAGGTCAAAACCACTCGCTTTGCTTACGAAACGTGCACTTGCTTACCAAATTCAGCTTTGTGCCCCAGGTAAAGTCAGTAACATTGTGGGTAAAACTAATGTTGGAGAGTTTTAGCTTATAACCTGCAGAAGAGGACAAAGTATGTGCAACAGAACAGACAAATATAATGAGGATGCAAAAGGAAAAAGAACAGAACAGTCAATCAGTTAATCAGTTAAATAAGTTAATCAGGAAGTTAATCAGTGGCCCAACTCTTTGTCGTGTCATCTTTTCCTTGCTTTTAATTGACAGACAAATGGATGAATCTGATTGACAAGGCATGTACAATTACCACTTTTTGGTCTAAATCTACAGGAGCGTGTATTTATGGCTGGTGTAGTACCAGCTCATACCTCATTGCAATGGCTATTCGTAATGGCATGAATTGCAATCTTCTTTTCAGCAAAGGCAATGGCTCAGCCCTCACCCAAAGTGCAGCTGGAATCCCACAAAACTGAGCCTCCCTCCAAAGTGCCACCCACCCACCTTGCTAGACAAGAGACAAAGACTATATCGAAGTGCTATGTCCAAGTCACAGGAATGACATGTGCTTCATGTGTCGCCAACATTGAGAGAAATTTGAGAAGAGAAGATGGTAAGATACATGTCAATGTAATCTGTTAAATTTCTCTTTTGGAGAATCCATCCAGCTTTTTGTACAGCATTTTTAACGGGTGGGTTGTCTAGAGAAGTGCCATTGCTGGTGTGTTTCGTGGGTGAGAACATAGTCTGCTCACTGTTGGTTCATGGGGTGAAAACAAGGTCGTTCTCGCTGCTTTGGGGTCATGCTGGCTAGAGACTGCCTTTGCAAAAGCAGGAGTTGGAGTCCTCCAAAGAGAATATAGGGGTCAGTTATGGATCCTTTTGAAACTAAAACAAATCTTTTCTACTGGAGGGACGTGCTCAGGTCTGCAACTTAAAGGCAGAAGCATATGTGCCTGTATTAGGAAGGGAGCTATTAGAGAGGGACAGAATTAATACGGATTAAAGAGACATGAGTTAATTTAGGTCTGCAAGTCAGGACAACTCTGTCTATCTTCTGTCAGTGTAATGATTATATTTGCAGGACAAATAGTTGCATGACTATGATGTAATGAGGAGTCGTTAATGTAGACTGTTTAATTACTGTAATGAAGATGGATGTGTTCCAAGTTAACCTGGAATTTAATTTTTTTCGTCCTAGAAAATGGATGAATCTAAAACCTTTTCACTTAGCGTACAGTAGAATTGCACATTGTTACATCTGCCCTTTCTCATGCATGTTCTCTTTTGAAGAAGTAAATGTTCTCTTTTAGAAGTTGTAAATGCAGATCAGAAAAATATGCAGAACTGTGTTTTAGAGGAATTTCTTTTAAGTAAAAATAGATCATCTTTTCGTGTAGCATAGATTGAATGTTTGGAATTAGGCTATTAAAAACATGAAACTCGTGGAGTAATACTTTCATCTGTCACACCTACACTTAGCTGCTTTTGTTGCATTGTTGATGTAGCTTTCAAAAATGATGACGTTTTTCGTTATGTGTACCTACAATATGGTAGCTTTCTCAATTTCAAGGAATTGCTATTGTGCCGTCATGCTACCGTAAACGCAGTGTTTATCTTAAACACGATCTGCCATTCACACGTTTTGTTTTCCAGGAATACATTCGATACTTGTTGCCCTAATGGCAGGAAAGGCAGAAGTGAGGTATAATCCTGCTGTCATACACCCTTCAGCCATTGCAGAGCTCATACGGGAACTGGGATTTGGAGCTACGGTGGTGGAAGACTGTGGAGAAGGAGATGGAATTCTGGAACTTGTTGTAAGCTAGTAATTAAAACCTACCATCCCCATCTTTATTACTTTTATCTGTGCTTGTGTAAGTGTCCACTTCCTAACGTGTTAATCACATAATAGAGCTTAATTTACAAAAAATAAAGCATAAGAGTACATCAGGTATGGATCACAAACTGTATTTTGTCCTACAAACTGTGCTGGCTCAGTGCTACACTGAAGTTGGAGAAATACTCCTCTTGTTTTGATTACTCTGCCTACTGCAGGAATTTCCTTTTTTTTGTTACTTTTTTGTGACCGAGTCTAGCTCGGTGTACCTCAGCTCTGAGCTTGAAGAGCCAGCAGAGCTTTGGCAGAGCTTAATAACCTCGTCTCTATGCTATGCTTCCTCTGTAGTGCTCTCATCCCCAACTAGAGAGCTCCAGCTGACTGCTTCAAACCCCAGAAACATGCAATAAGTAATTCAGGATAGTCATAAGCACTTTTTCTTTTCCTACCTTTTGAGATGCCTTTATCAAATAACCTGTGGTTTCGATAACAGGAAGGAACGTTTATTTTACAGGTGAGAGGAATGACATGTGCTTCTTGTGTACACAAAATAGAATCCACCCTCATGAAGACTAACGGTGTCTTATACTGCTCAGTAGCACTTGCCACCAACAAAGCACACATTAAATATGATCCTGAGATTATAGGTCCTCGAGATGTTATACAAGTGATCAAGGTACGTCTCATGAAGGCGTCAAGTCTCATAAAATATCCTGTGTCCTTAGAGGAGTTACGTACCCTGGAAACAGAAGGGAAGACTATTAAAGGAAAAAATATCTCTCTTCTTCCATCTGCTATCTTCTTAGTGCAGGTTTCTGCAGATAATATGTGTGTTCTTGCTCAATGCTGTATTACGACTTTGCCTAAGTTTCTGAACAGAAATGCTAGGAAAGCCAGGCTATGGTAGAAGAAGATACCAGCTATAGGTTTGCAGAAAAATAAAGCACGTCCATGAGTACTGTACCAGGAGAGAGGTGAAATAAGTTTCTTGGCTCTCTCCCTCAATTTCTTTACTTCTGTGCTTCAGGAATAACCATTTTGGAAAGCCAGTTTTTAGAATAGCATTTTAATGTTCTAGAAAGGTTGGTTTCTACATCAGATTGTTTTTCTGTCTTCGCAAGGTAACTAGGAACAATTGTATCAGAATGTTGTTAAATCAAATTGTAAGACTGGCATCATCCATAATCTGGCAATAACTTCATAGGAGCATATATAAGTGTCTTTAAAAATCAACTGTTCTCTTTTTCATTATGCTTTTTTCCTTAGGATTTAGGTTTCACTACTTCGTTAGTCAAAAAAGATAGATCTGCTAGTCATCTAGATCACAAACAGGAAATAAGGCAGTAAGTATTCCTGAACATATTCAGATTCTGTAAACTTCTTTGATTCTTCTTTTTTCACCGGTAGTAAAGTTATGAGTTCTTGTTGTGTGACTGTGCAGACTTGCTAGCAAAAATGTTATCCAGCACTTGACTGCAAAACAAATTTTTTTTTTTCTTTTTTTTTCTTTTTTTAAATCTGAGGTGGAAAAGGTCTTTTGTTGTGAGTCTCGTTTTCTGTATTCCGGTCATGGGGCTGATGATTTACATGATGGTTATGGACAACCAGCTTTCAGATGCTCACGCACATCACAACATGAGCAGTGAGGAAATGGAGGCCCTTCACTCCTCTATGGTCCTGGAATACCAGCTCCTGCCAGGATTGTCTGTTATGAATTTTCTGTCGTTTTTACTCTGTGTCCCCGTACAGGTAAGCGGGGAATATGATGACGAGTTTGCTGGGCTTAAGCACTCAAAATGGAAGACGATGAAGAAATGAAATTTGAAAAGTGGTTGTAATTGTACTGGTTGGAAAAGCTTTTGAGGTGCTCCTGCTGTTGCCAAAATGAGAGGTGCTAGGGACGGTTGCGGGCGGGCCGATGGGCGTAGAGGTGCTCTGCAGCCAGGCAGCATCTGAGGCAGCCCGCCTAGCCCCGCGGGTGGGCGCGGGGACGGGAGAGGATGCGGGAGCACCGTGGTAGAGATCGTAGCCCTTGGCTGGCACTGGGTTTTGTTCAGGAAGAGGTGGAGAAGGCAAATAACACAAATAAAATGGGTGTCTCCCTCTCTTCCGGAGGTGCTGCTGTGTGTTACAAATGTGTGTATGAAATACAAACTGATGCTCTTATTACAGGTGTTTGGAGGCTGGCACTTCTATATACAGGCATACAAAGCACTGAAGCACAAAACTGCGAATATGGACGTGCTCATTGTTTTGGCAACCTCCATTGCGTTCATCTACTCGTTTGTTATTCTTCTAGTTGCAATGGCCGAGAAAGCAAAAGTAAACCCTGTAACGTTCTTTGACACTCCTCCTATGCTATTTGTGTTCATCTCATTGGGCCGGTGGCTAGAGCATGTTGCGAAGGTAAGGAAAATAAAAGCCCATAATATCTACAAGCTGCAAGACATTAAGAATGATTTCAGAATGTTGCATACCTTTAAAAAAAAAAAAATCCCATGAAAAAGCTTTGTTAGGTTCTTTTAACCTTCTTTGTAAAATCATCTTCAGTAACTGAACTAGTAAAAATATGAAATGACAATATAAGTCTGTTTGCAGAAAGTATTTTCTTAATAGGGTAAATTGCAACATGTGCAGTTGTCATTTACCCAGCGATTTTTATTCAATAGCATAGTCAGAAAAATATGAAAATTATTATTCTAGGGTAAAACATCAGAAGCACTGGCAAGACTAATTTCATTACAAGCTGCTGAAGCTACTATTGTTACCTTGGGCCCTGATAACGTTCTTTTAAGGTATCTTGCTTTGTCATTTGCTTTTTCTGTTGTTCCTTTTTTGTTGTTAATATGCTTGATTCACAGACGTATGGTTGCCATTCTATAGAACTATGAAGGAAATAACTTCAGATTTGCTGGCAGATTTGCCAGATATAAATGTGAAAATGCAAGAAAAAAAAATGCTGCTCTGATTTGTTATGTTGGAATCTTGCTAATTTTTGCTGTGATAAGAAAACTAGTGGATTTTCTCAACTGGAAAGTAAATAGAATGATAAAATAATCATAGTGCTCTTTTAAAATGGCCTTTCTTGTGACAAATTTTGTATACATTAACAATGTCAACCAACGGGATTATGCTTTGTGTATAGTGACAACTCCTTTTGCCTGGGTAACTTAGTTAACGATCTCTTATTAAAAACACTTCGCACCATTCTAGCGAAGAGCAAGTTGACGTTGAACTGGTTCAACGAGGTGACATTGTCAAAGTGATCCCAGGAGGCAAATTCCCAGTGGATGGTCGTGTTATTGAAGGACACTCTATGGTAGACGAATCTCTTATCACAGGTAAGCATTTGCTTTTTGCGAGTGTAAAAATGTTTTTCTTTCCTTTAAATGAATCTGGGGAAGGGAAGTTGAAGCTGATGTGCCATGACAAGGATGAGGGGAACGTTAGGAGTTGATAGCTATTACAATACTGCTGAAAAAGATACCTTAGTATCTGTTGTTGACCTTTCCTTAGGTGAAGCGATGCCCGTGACTAAAAAAGCTGGCAATACAGTTATTGCAGGTTCTATTAATCAGAATGGATCACTGCTGATTTCAGTTCTTTCCCAGATTGTTAAACTTGTGGAGGAGGCCCAGACCTCAAAGGTAGGGTATTACCAAATTAAGCATTTGGTTTTTTGTCTTACCGTTTAGGCATCAGCATACCAAATCATTTGAAGAGTGGTTAAGATTGTTTAGATTGGAATTGCAGTAGCATAATGAAGTATCTTGCTGAGTAAGGACTTTGATACAGTCTACTGTTCCAAGTCTCATCGTCTTATTAAGTAAATACATAATTATAGCACGTAGTATGCCAAATGTGCTGCAAACAGAAGCTGTGATTATGTCTGAAGGCATAGACAAGAGTAAGCAGAACGTTGCTGGAGCTGACGTGTGTTTCTCCTTCCTAGGCTCCTATCCAGCAATTTGCAGACAAACTTAGTGGCTACTTTGTTCCTTCTATTGTGGCTGTCTCTGTGGTTACACTTTTTGCCTGGATTATAATTGGATTTGTGGATTTTGAAATAGTAGAAAAATACTTTCTGGTAAGTAAGTCTCCTTAAACACCTTCGGAGATATTTAAAAAATAGTTAGCCTACAAGTCTATCAGACAGCAATGGTTCCCTTTCCGAATGATCTTGCAGGAGTTGCTGACTATAGGTATTATATTATTGTTATTGTTGTTGTTATATTTTTCACGTTATATATTTTTTACACAATATCACGCCTACTTTTATACTTGAAGAGAATCTGCAGTAATTAATCAACTCTTGAAAGTTAGTATTAAAAAAGAAGTTTATTTTAAAAAAAGTAAATACTAAACATCAAAATTTCCCAGTTTCCATTCCTCCTCTGGGGGGAAAAGAAGTCCCTTGTGTCACAAGCTCCAATTCTGCATCTGGTTCTGTTAGCATAGCTCTGCGTAAATTCATCTTTGAAATCAGTGGAATTCATTTTCATTGTAGATGCCAGAGGAGGATGAGGATCCGAACTTGTATCTGAGCGTTGCTTAGATCACAGGTTTCTTGGTTCATGACTATTTCCGATTAGGATTTATTAGTTCCCAGGAAAGCAATCTTCACACCCTCTTTCTTTGTTATTGTATATATTGTTGTTAGAGTATCTTTTACTACATTACAGCGTAAAAGACTTGCAGCATGTGGTACCTTATTTAGGAAAATGTCCTATAAATAAAACAGATCGCGGGTATATGCAGTATAGAACAGAACTTAGTCATTAGTTTATTAGTCATTAATCTTAGCTTTTGCGTAATTTGCCTGTGCTTTACTTTTAAAGATTTAGCTTGCATACTTGCAGATTTTTTTAACATCAAAAGCAATGTGTAGTTGAACACATTGTTCAATTTCTTCTATTACTAAAATAACCTTCTGTCACTAGGGTTACAATAAGAGCATTTCTGCAGCCGAAGTGATAATCCGCTTTGCTTTCCAAGCCTCTATCACAGTCCTGTGTATTGCTTGCCCCTGCTCTCTGGGATTAGCCACCCCGACAGCTGTGATGGTTGGTACTGGAGTAGGAGCTCAGAATGGCATACTGATCAAAGGAGGAGAGCCGTTAGAGATGGCACATAAGGTAGGAAACGCGGGTTGTCGTTACAAGAACTTTAAGGGTTGGTATCGGCGGCATTTTGCTGCTTTGGTGCCTGAGCAGATCGTTACGTGTACGTCAGTCCACCTTAGTAAGTGGCGTATGACCAGTAGATGTTGGGTAGTTTGGTTACGTGGGGTGGTTTTCCGAGGAAGGTAAACATTAAAGCTGTGTTCACTGAATGCAGTCTTCCTGTTTTGGCGCAGGTGAAGGTGGTTGTGTTTGACAAAACAGGTACTATTACTCATGGGACCCCAGAAGTGATGCAGGTGAAGTTTCTAGTGGAGAGTAACCAACTACCACATGACAAAATGCTGGCGATCCTGGGGACTGCAGAGAGTAATAGCGAGCATCCTCTTGGAGTAGCAATAACAAAATACTGCAAAAAGGTAAGTTGATTATACAGGAGAAGACTAGTGTTGTGGTAGAACACTCTTGCAGTAATTAATACGTACGAATAGTCTTGTGTTATTTAGAAAGTAATTGACATATTCAGTTGAGAAAGCTGAATATTGTGGAGCCGCATAAATCACTTAATACCATGTCAGATGCACTGGATACTCAAACTTACTTTTTGATGACTGATGAATATTCCACTGCTCCTGTTAGAGTTAGTTTGACTGCACTTTGTGGGGTTTGTAAATGCAGCATGTTCTTATATATTTTAAAATTTTCTTAGTTTGCATCCTTTTTCTTTAGGAACTGGACTCAGAAGCCCTTGGGACATGTACAGATTTTCAGGTAGTTCCAGGTTGCGGCATTAGTTGTAAAGTCACCAATATTGAAGCATTACTCTACAGGCAAGATAAAATGGTCGAAGAAAACAATATTAAAAATATGACACTTGTGAAAATTGAGGAAAATATGGACGAATTGGTGCAGCCTGCTTTGATTATTGATGCTGAACTACCAAGTAAGCTAACTCTGGTTTATAGAATAAAATGGGTAATTTTTGCTTTTGTGTCTTTAGGCTCCTTAAGAAAGAGGTCACTTAGCCTTGGAGAACTGGCCTTGCATCAAGGCACACATGAAGTAGTTGGTTAATAGTTTATTTCACGTTCGCACATCACTCGGGACGTTTTGGTTAAACACGATTTGAAGTTACATGTTGAAGACGGAGCTGGAAAATCACATGGGAATTGTCTTTCAGCTCCCTCTGTTTTACTTTGCTTCATCCCAAGTTACCATTTGCTAGCCAAAATGATGTATATTTGCACAACCGACTGGTTTTTAATCAAGAACAGCCCATTGTTAGATCTTTTGACTATATTGGGCTGTTACATATAAATTAGAAACACTGAGAAAGGGACTTGGTCCTTTTCTGTCCTTTGACCTGTGATTCTTGGTCCACTGGCATGGTAACTACCCACTACTGAAGAAATGTTACCTTCTCGTCAAGAACACAAGTATTGAGAAAGACTTTGTCTTTGGATTCTCTGTAATGATATTTCAGTGCATCCTGGGAGAACCTGGATAGGATTAGCCGGAGGGAAGTTTCCTGGTTATCCATATGATGGTACGATTGTATTTTCTTCCTTCAGCTAACATGACTTCTCAGACATACTGTGTTCTCATTGGGAACCGAGAATGGATGAACAGAAATGGCCTCGTTGTTAAAAATGAAGTTGATAAAGCTATGATGGAACATGAGCGGAGAGGTCGCACGGCAGTTCTCGCAGCTGTTGATGGTAAGTTCAATGCTGTCTTTCTCAGAGGTTGATTTGTCACTATTTAAATAGAAAATACTAAGTAGTAATGTCATAGCAGTTTTACCTGAAGCAGAATAGTGGGATGAAAAGAGATGATTAGCTAGTTTCATAACACTTTCATATGAGAAAGATCTCTTCTTGCCTTTCTTAGTTGACAGGAGAGTTGGACATAATGCAAAGACTTCAAAGAGAGCAAAGAGGAAGAAGGGAGAAAAAAGGAATTTTTTTGGGTTGGACAGTCTGTGCTCATATTGCCTTAAACGTTGTTGCCCTGATTATCTCTTCTCATTCTTTTTACTGTTGATATTGCTGTTTCTGGAATTGGTCTTATTGGGGCGGGGGGGGGAAAGTTACGTTGTTTTTTTTTTTTCCTAAAGCAATGAAGATCTTTATTACATAATAAACACATTCTTTCTTTCTGTTCTTTTAGGAGTGCTTTGTGGCTTGATAGCTATTGCTGATACTGTGAAACCAGAAGCTGAGCTGGCAGTCTACACTTTGAAGAGTATGGGATTAGAAGTTGTCCTAATGACTGGTGACAACAGCAAAACAGCAAGATCTATTGCCTCCCAGGTAAGCTGTTACATGCGTGTTTGGGTTTGAAGCTTGCTACAGCCCACTTACAGGAAGCATGTTGTGTCATGTTGATACTGCTTGTGGCTGGCGTGGAACTGGTCTGTTGTGAAAAACAGACAAACTCACATGGGGATGGAATGAAAAAAGCCTTTTTGAATGGAAGCAGCATCAGCTTTGAATTCAAGCTGTTTTCATATCAGATGGGTTTGGTCTTCAGCTCACGAGTGATAACATGGGCTTCAACCTTCCTAGTCACATTATTAAAGGCAGAAGCTTCGATAGCTAGTAGAAAAGCTGCAAGACAGTTCTGTACTTTCTCCCTCTCTTAGGTTGGCATCACCAAAGTGTTTGCAGAGGTTCTTCCCTCCCACAAAGTAGCCAAAGTGAAACAGTTACAAGACGAAGGAAGACGGGTGGCCATGGTTGGAGATGGTATCAATGACTCCCCGGCTCTTGCTATGGCCAACGTGGGAATTGCTATTGGCACGGGTACTGATGTCGCCATTGAGGCAGCTGACATGGTTCTAATTAGGGTAAGAAATAAGAGTGCCTCATTAAAATGAGATGATACGAAGGGTTAGAAGGCTCAGGATGTCTCGAATGAATCTGACCACTGCTGAGGTGTGCAGCCTTCATCAGCCAGGAGCAGAGAAGAGATTATCTTCATCATGTTTTAGTGTAGCGGTAACTATTTTATGGAGGAAACTTCCCCATTTTCTAGGTACTACAAGTTTTCTAAGTACTGCAAGTTTTGGGGTAGTTAAAGTTTGAGAGTGGGCAAAGGAGGAAAAAGTGACCTGACCTTTGGCAAACATAAGTTATATTTCAGTAACATACAGCAGTAAATCCAAGGTTATAGTCACGTCTTCCTGTGTATCGAGAACACCTTGACAGCAACTGGAGTCAGCGTCTAGAGCTGCGCTGTGTGGTGCTGTATACGTCGCTTGGATTACGATGACATCTGGAATAAGATTGGCGCTGATTGTACGGGCTCTATGCAGACAAACTAGAGCAGCCTACAGAGTAATTACTCCGTATAGTCTGTTACGTCTAGCGTATGGTAGTTAGCTTTAAAATAGGAGTATGACACTACATGTATGCTTTTTTCCCCCTCTCTTTGACTTCTCCAATAAACATATTAACTTGCAGGATGACTTGATGGATGTGGTAGCAAGTATAGATTTATCAAGAAAAACTGTGAAAAGGATCCGGATCAACTTTGTCTTTGCTCTAATTTATAATCTCATCGGAGTTCCCATAGCTGCTGGTATGTGAATGCTTCCCTGCAGCAATAAGGTGGTGCTGAGTGAGTAGAAGGTTGCAGTGTTTATTGTTGTGTGGAAGAGTATCCATTTTCTTTATTTCTGGCTGTCAGTAAGTGCAGAGTTCTCTGCCTGGGGATGTTGCAGTGATATACTTGTGAGCTGTCCTCCTCCCACGTTATGGCTATTGTGGATATGCTCAGCACGTCAAAATAACTTCAAGATAAAAGGTTTATTGAATGAGCCTGATCCTGTGAACAAGCAGTTTACTGCAAGGCAGGCAAGACTTGCCTGCCTCTGAATTTCAGACTGCATCAGTGACACATCCAGCTGTATTTGCCTGTAGGTTCTAGCTCGGATAAACAACAAATATTTAATAAATAAGTATTTGTGTTCTAACACTAAACTAAAATCCTTTTTATTAACATACAGAAATACAATTAAAACTAGACAATCCATGTGAAATTGTATGTGTTAACATGTGAATAATGCTGTGTTCCTAATCTGAACTTCCTGCTATTTTACTTTTCTAGGTGTCTTCCTGCCCATTGGTTTGGTTTTACAGCCCTGGATGGGATCTGCAGCAATGGCTGCCTCCTCTGTTTCTGTCGTGCTTTCTTCTTTGCTGTTAAAGATGTGAGTATGAACAATTCTGTGGCTCATGATTTGGATTTGAACCTCAGGTCTTTCCCTTTGAGTGGCAGAAGAGAAGTGTGGGACTGTAACAGTTCTCACAGCTTTTTGAAGAACAGTTCAGGCAGGTCTGTGTTTAACAGCAGTTGGTTTTGTTCTTGCTTGGGAAGAGGAGTCAGTTGGTCCAAAACATTTCAGACAATAGCGTGTCAAAATGTCGTTTCTAATGTGAAGAGAAACATACAAATCAGAAGTGTGCTCAGAATGGAAAATTCCTTAGTGGCCTCTTGTATATTCGTGAGGAATCTTGTCAGGTTTCTGAGGCGGTGCAGCTGTAAACACCACGCTGACCCTGAGGATTGTTGCAGTAAGTAAACCAAGCTGTTTCACTGCGTTATTGTTCCTCATTCTGCCCTTAGCATTCCCACCACCATGCTACACTACTCCTATCTTTTGCTATTTAGTTAAACATACGAGGTTTCAGAAGAAGGAGAGTAGAAGTAAATGATAGCTACAGTGGTCTGCTCCCAGTAGATATATATTTTTTTAATATATTTTTATATTTAAACATATAGATATGTTTTGCAGATGCTCAGCACCACCGAAACAGTTAAAGCTGACGTGTGTGACTCGGTATTTACCCATTCTTCTGCGTCCTGGACAGAAAGCACTGAATTAGCTTCTCGTTGTATAGTAGCCTTGCAAAATCTGAAACTTTCATCACTGTATAGTCGATCAAGTTATAAATAACTCTGGCTTGTGCATGATCATAGCTAGTTTCTTTCCATATTTTAGTGTACTGTACTTCAACCTGAGATGTATTGTCATCTTTTGTTTTTTTCTTCCTTAGGTACCAGAAACCAAGTTCTGAGAAACTCGAGTTCCGGGCCCGTGGCCAAATGAGGCACAAGAGCCCGTCAGAAATCAGTGTCCACATTGGAATTGATGAGACTGGGACAGGCTCCCCTAAACTGAGCTTAATGGATCGAATCATCAATTACAGCAGAGCCTCTATCAATTCTCTCCTTTCAGATAAGCGTTCAGTGAACAGCATAGTTCTTCATGAACCAGATAAGCATTCACTTTTGGTGCCAGATTTTGGAGAAGATGATGACACAGCATTATGAAAGACTTGCCCCTCCCACCCCTGCTAAGCAAGAAAAAAAAAAAAAAAAACCTGAAGCAAAATGAAAAACCAACCAAAACAGCTATCGAGAAGTCTGTGCATGTACTGACCATTTCTGGAGGTCTTTTCAGATTTATTTCTTCTTTAATGTAGAAAACTAGTTTTGGCAGTGACTTTCCAGGGTCTTTTTTTTTTTTAAACTAGACTTACCAAAAAAAATGGTGCAGGGGCTGTGTTGCCATTCCATCAAGCTTGAAGTATAGGTTTTTTTTGTTTGGCAAAAAGTCAAAATACAATTAAGGAAACTTAAGGAACCAGAAACTTATTTCCCAGCCTTGTAACAGGCTACTTTATGCCTAGTCAAGTTTAGTACTGTGTTAAAAAATTATAAATTACTGCATCTGCAAAATACTGAAGGTTCTGTGTTTGCAGATAGACGTGCCTTACTTCAGAACTTCCAGGACCCCGCTTGTTTCCGTAGCCTTCTACCAGAAATGGTTCCTCCCAAATGCCTTTTCTTCTTACAAACACCTGGTTCCACCTTTTCCCACTGCCAGCTTCAAATCATCTCGCCATTTGTGATCTGGATTCCTGCGAGGCAGAACGGAGAGGTTTTGGGTTTGCTTTCTAACACCATACCTGCACGCAACTCTACACATCCATGCCCCAGTACACTCCTACTACTAAGACTGTCTCCTTGAAGGTTGAATGGGTTGGGAGATGTGCTCATTCCCAACCTCTCCTAAGCCAGAAACTCCTGCAACACCTGAACACGATATGAATGTGATGTGGTATTGGCCAAAATGTTTAGCTTTTAAGGCAGCAGTGTGGTTAGTGCTCACTACCAAAATCTACTAGCACTCCTGAAATGAACCATAATAGTGCAGATCCAGGCCTTGTGAATTAAGACAGTCTTAATTTGTTACTGAACTGAAATATCAAAATGCAGGTTTTGATCACAAAATCATTAATATTAAAAATATTCTCAATGAGAAATAAAGGTGTTCATCACCCAGCAGCTAGCTACCTGTTTGTTACTTAACAAACCTTGTTCTTTAAGCCCTCTGCTGAGATGGGTATCTAAAGCAATTAGAAGGTTCGATAATGTTGAATTATATTACGAAATACAGACCACGGTGTAAAAACGTAATTCCGATTTGTGCTTGTAGTGGAGGAACGGTCAGTTTGGAGTGTGGTAGGGAGATCTCTGTAATATTCTAGTTTTTAACCTGAAGTCTGATGTCAGTGCATAGGTTGTGCATGTAAAAAATCATAGGTAAACAGCTTTTGCATTTTATCTGAGAACTACCGGAAAAATACCAGTGTATGAAAACAGAAGAGTTGTGCTATGGAACACGTTGTTAGTAAATCAGTATACTTGTTACATTGCAGTGAGGAGAACAACATAATTTGTTGCTGCCGCCAGCTTAAGAAACAAAATATTTTTGTTGCAGGATTTAGGTTCTTAATATCTCTACATGAATATAGATTTTTTTTTTTTTTAATTAGACTATAGGTATGTGTATATATTGTAGCATTAAGAACTGCTGAGATACATTACTGCAAGGCCATTCTGTAAGATATTGTTCTCAGTTTTCAGCAACAAAGCTGTCTCTTAACAAAGCAGATAGTTACCTAAAATCTGTTTGATCATATTTACGATGGTTTTTTTAGTGCTTCATGACCATGCAAACTGTTTCCAGATATTTACGTTTTCTTGCTTATCTCCATACTCAATCTCAATGCTATTCTTGGCAAGATTCTGCAGATGGAAGTATCCTACGTATCTTTGTGAGCAAAATATGTAGGAGTGAGGACACAAGGTGGATCCTAGCGTGCTTTCGGATGGGAGTTTCACTACTGCAAGTGCTGGTGATGGTATATATGGCACATAAATGACAGACATCGTGCTCTTACTGCAGGAAATAGAGTAGTAATTTAGGGTTAAATTCCTGGTTGGTAGATAAAGCAGCATGAAGAATTTGTTAAATTATTTCCAAATATATTTTTAGAGCACTTTGGCTTTGACCTTTTGTTGTCCAAATCGTATATAGGTTGAATGTTTACATTGGTACGCTGGCTTTATCACCAACATTTTCCCAAAACAGATGTTTTTCTAGACTTTTCCATTTTTCTGTGAATCCCGGCATTTGATCCAGTTACAGCAAAACAAGGCTACTTTTTAAAACCAGGATACTTCGTGAGGTGCAGAGGTGATTATCGGGGAATAAGGAACAGGAAAGCCTAGCTGAGAGGGAATGGGATAGCAGCTTGTAAGTACAGTTGGAGAGGGGACACTACTAAGCTAAAGACCAGCGTTAGCCCAAGAATGAAGGGGTATTAGGTGGTTGTGATCAATCTAGGCTTGAATTGAGATGAAGCTTTTCAACTATAAACAGCTACTTGTTTCTGAGACAGCGTCTGATAGAGCTGGTATGGGTGGAAAGCAAATTGCTCTCGTGTTCTGAAAGAGGCTTGTATGAAGTGATGCCAGCAAAAGCAGCGGCCAGGCTTTCGAGACCCAGAAAGTCCCTTTCAATCCAATTTTCCTCTTCAGGAAAATCTGTCTGGACTTGTCTTTTGAATGTGAATTTAGTACACGGTGTGTTTTGAGTAATGTATGGCTGATTAAGGAATTCAGAGTCCAGATCTTTGAAAACAGGTTGTCTGTCCAACACCGCCCCCCCCCCAGCAAAGGTGTGATATGTCCTACAGACTGTTTTATCTTGTGATTAAAATATTATGTAAGGTGCTTTATGTTGAAGAACCAAAATATTGTTCAGTTTGTATAGTGCAAGTGAAATAATGTGGGAGCTAAATGTTTTCCCAAATGTGAATGTTTTAATATGTAAATATATTACTCCTGTTGGAGACAGTTTGGATTCAGGAATTTAAAATATCACTTGGAAACACAGTTACAAATGGAATTGTATTACTAGTTTGTCTATTTTATTGTTTTCTGTAACTAGCTATTTATAAAATGTGTGCTCTATTTAAAAAACAAAGTATGTATGCTCCAGGCTGTAAAAGTTGTTCTTTGCATCTTACCAATAAACTTTTAAAAGAGTAGACACTTGAAATTTTATATAAAAAAAGAATGTGAAGGTGACAAAACACAATGGAAGCAAGCAAGCATTTTTATTTATTAAAAAATGTTTATTCTTTGCTTAAAACTTCCAATGAAATGTTTTAAACTTGAGATTTTTTTTTTTTCAATTTTGGTATGAAGAATGGAGAAATGAATGGTGTGGCGGAATGTTAATTTAGTGCTGTTAGGTTTCTTTACATCTAGAAACATGTCGTATCACACTTTCTATTCTTTTAGGATTGTGCATCCATCATTATAATGGCAATTATTAGCTATATAATAAAAGTGTAACATCCGAAGACTGTTTTAAATCATGTTCTATGATCTCCTTTAAACGTTTCTTTTGCTGGCTTAACAGATTCTCCTGCCAGCTGTGCAAAATTTCTCCCCATTCCTTCCTCCGCGCCGTGCAGTTGAAAGGCCAGACCTGGCACCTCAGGGACGCGATGGCGTTGGATCGCCCTGCAGGAGGTCGAAATGTGCACGTACAGGATGGAGGTTCTCAAGCAGCTTTGCATGTCACGTGCACTTCATCTGCCCCACATAAGAGCACTCTGGGTGAAATGGGAATAGGTGAAGCTCCATTGCTTTTTGCTTGTTTGGCAAAAAGCTGAGGACCAGGGTTTCATACGTATGTTTCCAGGTCTGCTAAACTGCGTGGCCTCGAGCAAGGCACTTGGCCTACATGAAACCGTAGGGCTGTTGGCAAGTGGTATTAGTGAAAGTTGTGAAACTGTGCAATAATCATCATGTAAATAGCACCATGTGTTACAGAATCGTGGAGCAGCTGAGGGTGGAAGAGGCAGCTGGAGGTCACGTAGCCGGTGAGCTACAGCCAGTGGCCCAGGACTAAGATTTCTAATACCACCACATCCTCTGTGGGCTATCTGTTCCGGTGGTCAATCACCCTCACAAGTAAAGAAAGTGTTTTCTTATGTTAGGATGAAATTTCTTGTGTTTCAATTTGTGCCCGTTGCCTCTTGTTCTTTCACGTGGTGCTACTGAGAAGAGTCTGGCTGTAGCACGGTGGTTCGTGCCATCACTCTGTGTCCCAGAGAAAAGTGCCAAGCATGAAGTGGTGGGGAAAATTCCATGTGAGTGCTCCTGCATTCCTCCCACGGAGATGGACCGGCTCCCAGCCCCGAGATAATCATTTGGGTCAAAATGTAGCGCAAATCGCCTGCCAAAGGCTAGATACTCTCCTGAAGAGCGTGTGAAGCAGTGAGGAGCAACAGGAGGAGATCCCTTTCTCAGCTCCCCAGCTGACCACATTAGAGGAGGGCCTGGCTGCCAGACTGGTCCCCAGGCTGTGGTCTCTGATGCCAGCGCATGTCCCGGGGGCTTGCTACCTGCAGGTTAGAAAGAGGGTGTGAAGCCTGAAGAGGACTGTCATGTTTAGCCCCAGCCAGCAATTGAGCACCATGCAGCCGCTTGCTCACTCTCCCCCAGCTCACTGGGGCAGGAGCAGAGTTGGAAAAAATTCGTGGGTTGAGATAAAAACAGTTTAATAGGACAGCAAGAGAGGAGGAAACAACGATAACATTATTAATGTTACTGATGAAAGAATAAACAAAGGCAAGTGATGCCCAATGCAGCACTTACCACCTGCTGATGGATAACCTGTCCCTGAGCAGTGATTCCTGCCCTACCAGCCAACTCCAGTTTATGTACTGGGCATGACATTATCTGGTAGGGAATATCCCTTTGGCCAGGCTGGGTCAGCCATCCTGGCTGTGCCCTCTCCAAGCTTCTTGTGCACCTCCCTGCTGGCAGAGCACGGGGAGCTGAAAAGTCCTTGACCAAGTATAAGCACTACAACTACATAACTACACTTCAGTCTTAGCAACATCATTCTCATACCAACTCCAAAGCACAGCGCTATACCAGCTATTGAGAAGAAAAAAAACAACTCCATCCCAGCCAAAAGCAGGACAAGGTCTTATGTGTTTGAGTTTTCTAGACGCACCTCTTAAGCATTTTAAGTAAACAATGAGTGAATGTTCCAATACTCCTTTGAGCTGTTTTT